CGAATCAAGATCTTTGCTGGAGAGAGAGAGGGTGGAAGGACAAATAGTTGACTAGGTGGGAAGGAATAGTGACTGGGCATGGTCATAAAGTGGGCATGGGAGATTGCTTGTTGTCATAACTTTATGGAAAAGTCAACACTCCTCCTAAAAATCTTATCCAATAGATTTTATTCTTAGACTAAGATTTTCCCTCAAAACTGATTAAAATATGAATTCATAGGGTCTTATATGCCAAACTATGAGTTTGGATGAAAATCCCGCGTTAAAATTATGAAAAACGGGCTTAAAATGAAGTCGGGGTCGAAAACCGGGTGAAAAAGGGGAATTCTGCGAAACTTCTCGGATTTGGGCCGAAGGTTCGGTCCTTGGGGCTTAGAACCGAAGGCTGGTTCGGTTGATGCATAAGAACCGAGAGAGAGAGGTTCGGTCCGAGCCTCGCAGGCGAAGCCATCAGAAGGAACCGAAGGCAAAGGGTAGTTCGGCTCTTGAGGAGGTCTCGGTTCTTAAGCTAGTTTCGGTTCTAATGAGAGGTTCGGCTCCTTAAGAGGGTTTGGCTTCTTAAGAGGGTTCGACTCCTTAAGAGGGTTCGACTCCTTAAAGTTGTTTTTCGCATAAACTTCCGTTTTCGAGTTGTTTTTGACTAAATTAAGGGTCGGGATGCCCCGGGTGATTATAAAAAGTTTAGAGAGATTTTGAGAGAGATTTGGGAGAGATTTCACATACTTAGAGAGATTTGGGAGAGATTTCACATACTTGGAGAGATTTGGGAGAGATTTCACATACTTGGAGAGATTTCTCATACTTAGAGAGATTTGGGAGAGATTTCACATACCTGGAGAGATTTGGGAGAGATTTCACATACTTGGAGAGATTTCTCATACTTAGAGAGATTTGAGAGAGATTTCACATACTTGGAGAGATTTGGGAGAGATTTCACATACTTAGAGAGATTTGGGAGAGATTTCACATACTTGGAGAGATTTGGGAGAGATTTCACATACTTGGAGAGATTTGAGGTAGAGAGAGATAGAGCGAGAGAGATTTGAGAGAGACTTCGTTTGAGACCTTTTTGGATGTTTAGCTTCGCTACGCAAGGTGTGTAAACCCCGTTAAGCCTTGTTATGAATGTTATACGCCCCCGAAGGGTATGTATTAATGTTTTATTGAGTTGATCCATCAGTTACACTCATTAGGGTTTTGATTTTTCTGAACACAGGAAGACTTAAAGTGATACTTTGCATAAAGATAGTGTGTTGTACAATAGTAAGCGCGATGTAAACCCTATTATACAAAGATTAATTGAGTTGACCTGTTTGACTTGTTGACTTTATTTGACTTTGACTTGACCGGAAATTGACGGTTGTCACAGTTTTCAGTTTGTGTTTCAGGTACTTCTGGTTCGAAGGGGAAGAGTCTGGGATGATTGCACTGCACACACCACATCGTTCCGTATTTTTATATTACTCTGATGTATTTGGATGATATTGATACTCCTTGTTTCACCATGGCTTCTATGATGTTGTGTGGATAATGGATTTATTAATTTAAAAGTCGACATTTTTAGTCTTAATTTATGGGATGTTACAATTTAAAATTTTGAAATTTTGTAAATTTTGGTGTAATATTTGAAATTTTGAATTTTTTTTTTTAAAATTTTCCTACCTACGAGCGCCAAGGACCGCCGAGGACCACCTAACCTAAGTTTGACCGATATTGATCAATTTCCGCCAGACACCTCTAATCATAATCACTTGCAGACCGCCTAGCGCCTAGGGGGCCGCCTATACCGTTATTTACAATACTGATATATATATATATATATATATATATATATATATATATATATATATATATATATATATACACACACACACTAGGTGTGAGACCTGTGTATTACACGGGTTTATTAAAAAAAATATAAACTTGTAAACCTTAAGCAATTTAAAAAGTAATAACTTTATATATATAAAGAGCTTTGATGAATAAGTATATAGATGAATACAAAGTAATACAAATTTATGTAAAAATAAGTTTAAATTGAAAAAAGTTACTTTTATGTAAATAATGATAATAAAAACTGAAAACAAATATGTTGAGATGTAAATTTGATGGAATTTATTATAATTTATTTTAAGAATGAATTGAATTAATTAAATCAATGATTTTCACTAAAAATAAAAATGAACCAATAAGCAAATTACATGCGGAAAACAAATAAATCAAAAATTATGAGAAAATTACATGTGGCAAATTAAAGGAAAAGATGACATGTGGCAATAAGATCTTTATTTATTAGGGAGGATATATATATATATATATATATATATATATATATATATATATATATATATATGTGTGTGTGTGTGTGTGTGTGTTGAATGAGCGTTTGATGCACTTATACTAAAGTACCCGATAATTTTTGTTGAGGAGAAGAAAATGAGTGATGATATTTACTTGTATCATATTAGATAATATGATTCTCGAAGATGAAGGAAATGCAATATATGAGTAAAAAGAAAAGGAGATCGTTCCACAGTAACAAGCATTTGAGGTTGGAAGCGAATAGTACTTAGCAAGAAGGGGAATAATTCGTAATGTTGAGATCCATCATAATTTTCGTAGAGACTTGACGTAACGTATTTGGATGGTTGATTAAATTGATCTTAACTCGAACTGGTCGATGATTTAGAAGACTAATTTTCAGATAAACACTTCCTTTAGATCGTAGGTTTTTTTATGTTTCTATTTTTTTAAGTGTTTTAAGTATTTAAGTTTGCTTTTTTTTTAACGTTTTGAAGTTTTTAAGGTTGTAAGACTCTAAGTTTTTTTATTTATTGTTATTATTATTTTAATTTTTAGCAATTAAAAAATGTTAAAATTTAACTTATAAAGAGTGTGGCAACCAACCCCACCTAAACGACAAAATGTTAAAAAGGTGTGACATGACGCTTGAATAGCAGGACATTTAGTATGATAAATGTGACGCCATTCCTTCTAACCTTAGAGATATTCATAAAAAATAATTTTAAAAAATCGACCAGTTAAGAAATGACTAAATTTTTATGGTTCCAAAATTTTTTTTTTTTTTTTTTTTTTCAAAATGTATGCTTTTGGAACAATCAAAATATATAACATGTATTTTTTTTCCAATTCGTGTTAAACATTTTGCAAAAAACTTTCTTTACATGGTAGACCATTTTATAATATTCAATGTCACCGATTAAATCAAATGTCACATTTTAAGGCTCTGTATCCACTAGGGCTGAACAATGTATAGTACCAGTTTATTGCTGTGTACCGTATCAAGTCTATTTGGTTTAATTTTTTTTTGTTATCGGAACCGTATGAAGTAAACTTTGTACCGACATATTACCAACTTTTTTTTTCTAATTTTATGTTGTAATATTTAAAGATCAACAAGATTAAAGATCAACAACGACGACATAAGACAACTCTCTTGTCTAGTAATATAGATTAGTAAACTATATTAGTTACTAAAGAATTTTATTAAGTAACTTTTTAGTTTTTTAATTTAACGTGATTATAACGATTGACTACGTGTAATGACCAACAGAAAGCTTATAAAATTATAAACAATAAACATACTTGGCAACTGAAAATACGATTTTGTTTATATATATATATATATATATATATATATATATATATATATATATATATATATATATATATATATATATGTGTGTGTGTGTGTGTGGGTGTGTGTGTGCTTGGTATGGTAATATCGTGATATTTAAATTTTAATATCATTACCATACCAAGATTTAAATTTTATTATCAACCAAACATCTTGGCTATCAAACATATTGGTAACTAACTATCTTGGTTCGGTTGATAGCATGTTGGTTGATTTTATATATACATATTTGACATCCCTACTATCTACTACTCATTGGATGTATTTCTTTAAACTTTTGTTACCTTTTTATTAAAATTGAAACATTCTATCGAAATTCTATAATAGTTTATTAGATTTCGGACATGTTATCTAAAATTCTGGAATAATTTTTTTTTTCAAAAGACAAAACACATAAAGAAAAACGTATTTTTCACATCTTTTTCCAAAAGAAAAAAATAGTTTTTTATATTGAAAAACGTTTTCTAAGTTTTAACCGTATGTGGTATTTATTGTTTCCACAACCAATGTCACCAACACTGTTACCGTCATCGCCACCACCGTCGTTGTCGCCACCACCGCTACCTCCACCTCAGCCACCCCACCTTCACCCCCACTACTCCCACCTCCCCTACTTCCACCACCACCACCACCATTTTCACAATTACATCCACCACCACCATTACCATCGTCGCCTCCACCACCAACTCCAACGGTTTTTTTATGAAGACTTGAAAAAACAACTGTTTTTATGAAGACTAAAAAGATATAAAAACTTTTTGGTCAATACTTTATTCCACAAACATGAAAAAAGACGAAAACATTTACCTTTTCAAAAACAAACACCACTTCACTTTGAAATTCATTTTTTTGTCATAAAATTATTTTTAATGTGATATAAAATTAATCCAAAATTAGCAATTGCTAATCATCATTTTTATGAAAAACCCAACTTATTAACCACTTCATTGTCATTTTGTTTTATAACCCGATTTATTAGCATGATACTAGTATAACTTTCTTAAATATAAAGGAGTTTAAAAAAGCCCAAGCCATTTCATATTTTCTCATCAAAAAAAATGTCAAATGGCCATATACTCATATAGCCAATAGCCCTAAGTCCCCCACCCACCCACAAGGTCCACACCGTATGTACAGTCGTTGTCTGCAAACCTAACCGAATGAATGGTCCATGGCAAGGACTAAGGACCAGGACCAGACCAGCGTCAGCCATATTCCATAGCCACATGCATGAACGTGCAGCTTTCAGTCCCTTAAACCCCTTTTTTATCGCATTTATTACCATTCACACAAACAATCCCAACGACTCAAAATAAAATGTAATCGAATCAAAAACACGAATCCTTTTAGTTTTTTCATTACACACGTGTTACATGGAGTCATCGAGTATTTGTTTTGTTAATCAGTTAATAATTATCACTGTCACTGGCATACCTTTACACCAAACGGACGAACTCCGGCAGCCATCCTACCCACCGGAAAACACAGTTTTGAGTTATTCCACGCCCCAAATCGCCGACCCATTTTCCGGTAGAACTCTACGGGGAATTTCAGGTCTCCGGCGAGGTTGTTTCCGTTGACGTAAAGTGCAGTTAGATTCTTTAACTCCGCTAGTTTCGGTGAGAGATTTCCCGAGAGATTATTGTCGTTTAAACCGAGAAATCTCAGGTTTTTCATGTTTGAAAACGACTCCGGGATCCCGCCGGTTAGCTTCATGTCCGACAGATCCAAAACCATGAGCTCTTGAAGGTTTTTCCAGTTGACGTTCTTAAGATCACCGGTTATGGAGTTGCTTGCTAAAATCAACTCCTGTAATGAACTCATTTCTTGATTTGCGAAATTCAGTTCGCCGGAGATGTTGTTGTTGCTAAGATCGAAAAGAGTTAAGTTCTTGAGATTACTGATTTGATATGGGATTTCGCCTTCTAATTTGTTCTTACTAAAGTCAAACTTCAAGATCGAAGTCAACCCACCAAAAGTCAAAGGTAAACTCCCAGACAATGAGTTTCTGCTCAAATCCATGATCAATAATTCACTCAAATTTCCATACCCATCTGGGATTTTCCCTGAAAGAGAATTACCAGACAAAACCAACCTCTTCAACTGAGTCAACTCACCAATGCTCTCCGGTAAATCGCCGGATAATCCGTTTCCGATCAATACAAGTGATTGGAGTTTCTTGAGGTTGCCGAAGGTGGTTGGGATTTCGCCTCTCAAACCAGGATTCCCCCGGAACTCCATGAATTCTAAGGTGTTTGAAAGCGCATCCCATTTAGCTTTCTGAAACGTAATCGGGCCTTGAGGAGGTGAGATGATACAGTTGAAGAACGAGATTGATTTCAAGTGTTGAAGTTGAAACAAATGGGGTTTAAATTCAGGATTTTGAGCACATGGAAGGGAGTTATCATGAACTTGACCAATGCTTAGGTCTGTTACATACCATAATCCATCGATAACATCACATGAAACACCCTGTAGAAATTAAGACACCATCATTATATCATCAAAATCATAGCAAAACTTTTGAGATGAGTTCATGCAATTTCGAACGTTACTGACTCATACTGAGATTATCATATTCAAATTTAGTATGATTGTAACCCTAATTTATGAAGGAAAACTTTGGATTTTGACTGTTTTTTTTTTCCAACTTTTGTCAACTTCCTTGTGTTCTTATTTATGATTTTGACTAGTGAGAAAATTATTACAACATTTTGTACGCTTAACTGTGGATTCTATATGACAAATTAACATGATAATGGAACTGCAAAAGGAAGAAAAAGTGTACCTGAATTGGAGTCCAACCACAAGGATCAGGATAAAGATCTGAGCCATTCCACCATTTTCCCACAAATCCTTGAACAGCAATGTACAGAGCTTCTTGCTCTGTTTTCGCCATTGGAGCTCCTACAACATCTTCATCAATGCACATTCCATTCAAACCAAGCATCGTTAACATTAGAACAAAAAGAAACCCATCGTTTCTAAATCTCAAATCCATCACGCTTTTTTCTGTTTTACTCTCACAGAAAAGATGTTGAATGTGAAGAACTTGGGGGTGTTTTTTCAGGAACCCATTTTTAAACCTCAAATTGATGTCGACTTGAAAGTTACAAGGGACAGAGGCATGTGAGGATGATGATGATGATATAATGAAAGGTGAATTGAGAACGAAAATCAGGAAAACCCAGATTGGATTTACCTCTAATTCGTATATATTTAAAGAAACCCAGTTAGTTTTCAACGAGTAAAACTCCAAAATAGGAATTAATATAGAGCAAATTGGGAAAAAGTAGTGAAGAACACATAAAGAAGCATGTAACAGAGAGCGCTCATTTCCATGATGTTTTATAGCAATGCTAAGGTAGAAAGTAAGAGACGGGTTAATCGTAGAGTTGCAGAAGCAATTGTACACAAATCGAACAGCTAAAAAGCTAATAACGCACAGTTATCGATGATCCATAAATGTATGGATTGTGAGAGAAATGTAGGTGTCTATATAGGGTGGGTGTGTTTGGCTTTAAAGAGAGGAGGATTGGGACCTTTTTGGATGCGTTGTGACTTGTGATGCTCTATTATAACCCAGGGAAAAAGAGCGTAATTATGAGGTTCCATTGATTTGGATTATGATTTATGAAGAAAGAAAGATGGTGATGTGAGTGTTTGGGGGCTTGAAAGATATTAAAGGTTGTTGAAAATGGTTTCTGAGACAGGAGGGGACCAATCAAATGATCAATGCATGTTATGTTGTTATGTGTTGGAAGTATATGTATGCATGCAAAGAAAAAACAAAACAGATAAATGATTGTTAAACTCTTACAAGTTGTATCCAAATATTTCTCTATTTTACATATGATTACAGAATTGGTCCTTGGTAAAATGAATGCAGTTTCAACTTTCAATCCATTTTTTTGTTATGATTTGTGGTTTTAGTAAGTTGTTGAGTGGCCCATTTGAAAGCCTAGAGTACACTTATCTAACTTTTATATTAAAAGAAACCTTTTATTGATTTTAGATTATAAAAATATCAAATATCGACACCACCATCCTTTTTCCACTAAAAACCCACCGTCTTCTACTCGACCCTTTTCCAGGAACATCTTGTCCCACGTTAATCTAAGAGTTATTCAAGAACAACAAAAGATATGCTGGGGCATTGATGGTATTCTTCTTGTTAAATCCCATGAACGATTAACTGAATATATTGTCCATAAATATATTATTTGTTTTATTCCCTGTAAATATTTCTAGATTGTATATTCATTTTATACTTGTACCCATGTTTCTATTTAATATTCTCGATCAATAGAATTAACATTACGTTGAAAACTTATTTCCGTCAATATGGTATCAGCCTAATTCCTGGTCCTAACCCTATTCATCTCTGTCGCTTCTGTTCCTTGTTCCATCTTCAACAATGTCGACCCCTTCTTCCTCCCCTGAAACCTCTTTACCTATGGCTACCCTCCTCCACATGCTCACCATAAAATTAACCCCATCAAATTATTTATCATGGTGTAAATGCGTAATCAAGCTCTTCCCCTTCTGACCCATCAAGATTGGTTCCGTTTTGTTGATGGGTCGTATCCGGCTCCACTGCCAACCATCACTGTTGCAGACAAAACAAATCCTAATCCAGAATACACCTCCTGGCTCGCCACAGATCAAAAGATAATGCTTCTCCTACAGTCGTCTCTCACTGAAGAATCTATGCCTGAGGTCATTGGTCTTACCACTTCTCGATCCTTATGGTGTGCACTAGAAGCCGCTTACAGCCACTCATCTTCTGAAAGGGCTCAAAACCTCAAGGATTCTCTCCGTCAATTAAGAAAAGACTCTCTCTCTCTGTCTCCGAGTATGGCAGGAAATTCAAATCCATCTGTGACCAACTCACTGCTATTGGTCATTCTGTGTCCGATGATGACAAGACCCACTGGTTTCTGCGTGGATTAGGACCGGATTTTGAGACTTTCTCAACAGCCCACATAGCCGTTCAACCTCGTCCTCATTATCGTGATTTGCTAGCCCTTGCGGAAGGTCATGAGCTGTTCATCGCGTCCTTACACGAACCATCACCATCTCCTGCTGCTTTCAATACCACTCATCATCCTTCTAATCACTCGCATGCTTCTCGTGGACGTGGTAAGTCTGGACGTTCTTCTGGTGGTCGTAACAATTCATCTAGAGGTCGTGGTCGAGGTCGGCGTCCTCCCCATTGTCAATTATGTAGGCATAATGGTCAATATGCTAATATGTGTCCCGAATTACCAAATTATGGTCGCCAATCCTCTTACTCTGCAGCAAATCTCGCCGAAGCTTTTCAATCAGATTGTCGCTTAAATTCCACACCCGATTGGTATGTAGACTCGGGTGCTACAGCCCATATGGCTCCTTCGCCTGCCCATGTGGACTCCTCCATACCCTATCATGATCCAGAACATGTTGCCTTCGAGAATGGTACTATTCTTCCTGTCTCTCGAGTTGGTACTAAATCACTTTCTTCTAGATTGCCTTTACGTGATGTTCTTATCGTACCACATCTCAAAAAGAATCTACTTTCTGTGAGTAAACTGACGAAAGACTTACCGGTTGATGTCATTTTTCCCGTTATTACTTTGCTATTCAGGACACCCAAACCAAGCAAATTTTGGCAAAAGGCAAGCATAAGGATGGGCTTTACGTGTTAAGTTCGGTGCATCAAGCTTTTTCGGCTTCTACAATTCCTTCTTCCAAAGCATCGTTCGAGACATGGCATCAACGTTTGGGTCACGTAGCATTTGACATTATTTCTTATTTAAATAAAAACGGTTGTTTAGTTGTTACTTCACTCTTACCTAAACCTGTGATTTGTTCTTCGTGTCAACTTTCTAAACAACATCGTTTGCCTTTCAATTCAAATGAAAAGCGTGCTTTGAAAGTTCTGGATTTAGTTCATTGTGATTTATGGGGACCAGCCCCGATAACTTCTACGGAAGGATTTAGATTATATGCTATTTTTATAGACGATTTCTCTCGTTTCACATGGTTTTATCCTTTGAGGGCCAAATCTGGATTTTTTGGGATACTAAAAATTTTCCTTGCGTTTGTTCAAACGCAATTCTCTTGCAAAATGAAGGTTTTTCAAAGCGATGGTGGCACCGAGTTTGTTAATCATCACGTCAATAAACTCTTCTTGGAAAATGGTACTCACCACCAGCTATCTTGTCCCTGTACCCCACAACAGAATGGTCGCGCCGAGAGAACGCATCGTCATATAATTGAAACTGGCTAAGCACTTTTGTTTGGTGCCAATGTTCCTGCTAAATTTTGGGTGGATGCTTTTTCCTCTGCCGTCCACATCATTAATCGTTTGCCAAGTCCAATCTTAGCTAATAAATCCCTGTTCGAGGTTTTATATCACTCCACTCCAAACTACACCAATTTCTGTGTATTTGGATGTCGACTTTTTCCATACTTAAGGCCTTACTCATCTCATAAGCTTGAACCAAGAAGTATTGAATGTATTTTTATTGGCTACAGTGCTCACTATAAAGGCTACAAGTGTTAAGATCCGACAACAAGTCGTGTGTACATCACTCGTCATGCACGTTTTGATGAAGCAAATTTTCCATTTTCTGGAAAGGCTCCAAATATTGATCTGGCAAAATTGTTTCTGGTCGAATACAGTGATGGAACACCACAACCCACACAACCTTCCATCCCAACACCATCTAAATTTCCTCCTAACTACCCCCAACAACCCGTGTCTTACATGCTTGGTCCCATGTGATACATCCGCATTGGCATCTACAACACCCAGCCCTTAGCGACTACATCTGGTGAGTCTGATACTTCTACTCCTTATGTTGAGTCTGATGCTTCTTCTGTAGGCCCAAACGCATCCCCTGTAGGTCCATCCACTTCATCGCCAACACCGCCAGTTGTTCAGGCTCGTGATCCTTCTAACACCTCTTCACAACATCCAATGAGAACTCGTGGTAAGGCAGGAATAGTCAAACCCAAGCATATATTTAATCTTCTCGCGGTAACCACAAACGGATTGCATTCAGCCTTATTTGCAGAAATAATTCCTAGAGGTTTTAAATCTGCTTTAAAACACCATCACTGGAATGATGCTATGTCAGATGAAATATTGGCTCTTCATCAAAATAAAACATGGAAACTTGTTCCAAGGCCTAAAGGCTTGAATGTGGTTGGATCCAAATGGGTGTTTCGAACCAAATTTCATTATGATGGGTCTCTTGATCGTCATAAGGCCAGACTTGTGGCAAAGGGTTTTACTCAAGTACCGGGTTTTGACTTTTCTCATACCTTTAGTCCCGTGGTCAAGGCTACTACGGTTCGGGTCGTCATATCTATTGCAGTTACAAATCATTGGGTTCTTCATCAACTTGATGTGAAGAATGCCTTTTTAAATGGCCATTTATCTGAAACCGTCTTCATGGAACAACCACCCGGTTTTGTTGATCCACAACATCCAGATTATGTATGTCGTCTCAATAAGGCTTTATATGGCCTAAAACAGGCTCCAAGAGCTTGGTTTCAACCTAAGCTTGTTTTTGCTCACACAAGGTTTTCACTGCAGTCAAGCCGACACCTCTTTGTTTGTTTTTCAACAAGGCTCTTGTCTCTTATATCTTCTCGTCTATGTTGACGACATCATTCTTACCGGGAGTGACGAGACTTCTATTTCCCGTTTCATTGAAAGGCTACATCGGGAGTTTGCAATCAAAGACCTTGGCAAGCTAAACTATTTTTTGGGTCTTGAGGTCACCTATACTTCTGATGGATTGTTCCTAAATCAATCTAAATGTGCTCATGACGTTCTTACCCGTGCCACTCTCCTTGATGCTAAGCCTGTAGCTACTCCTCTTGCTACACATGATGTTTTTTTGAGCACCGACACACCTTACTCAGATCCTACACATTATCGATCCTTAGTTGGAGCACTACAGTACCTTACCATCACTCGACCAGATTTATCCTATGCTGTAAACCAAGCTAGCCAGTTCCTTCATGCTCCAACAATTGATCATTTCCAGATGGTCAAGCGCATTCTACGATATGTAAAGGGCACCATCTCTCACGGTCTTTTTTTTCTTGCCCTAAATCTGCATCTTTAATTGGATACTCCGACGCGGATTGGGCACGTTGCATTGAAACACGACGTTCTACCTATGGTTATTCAATTTTCTTTGGAGGTAATCTTGTTTCTTGGAGTGCAAAAAAACAACCGATGGTCTCTCGATCAAGTTGTGAATCTGAGTACCGTGCCATGGCAAATACCGCTGCTGAACTTATTTGGATCACCCATCTTTTACGGGATCTTAATGCCATGCCCTTGGTTCGCCCTACCATCTTATGTGACAACTTAAGTGCCATCCTCCTTAGCCAAAATCCGGTTGCTCATCGACGAGCCAAGCATATTGAAATTGACTATCATTTCATCCGGGAACTTATATCCAATGGCAAACTTCAAACGAGTTTTGTCCCCCACCAAACTTCAAGTTGCCGATATCTTCACCAAGCCTCTCGCCGGTCCCTTATTTGCACACTTTTGTGACAAGCTTCCTGTTGGTCCACCACCAGTCTCGCTTGAGGGGGGATAACTGAATATATTATCCATAAATATATTATTTGTTTTATTCCCTGTAAATATTTCTAG